CAACCTCTCAAAAAAAAGATCTACAGATAGTTAATAAACAAATGCAGGGGTCACCAGGTGGCATGGTGGTTGACGTGCTGGACTCCCACATGGCCAACTGTGGTTTGAGGCCCAGACCCAGTGGCCTGAATGTGTGCATAATCCTGAGAGGAGAAGAGACTGCAGCATGGCCAGCACCCTGGGGGATAATTTTTCACTTTCTCTCTGTCTCTCACTGTCTCTCTGGTGAACACATGTGCCCTATAACAAAAATTTCTCCAAAATAAATAAATAAGCACATGCAAAAATGTTCAGCATTATGAGTCATCAGAGAAGTGCAGATCAAAACCACAATGATATACCAGTTCATATCCACAAGAATAATTACAACTAAAAGAACAAAAACAAAACAAAAAAACAGGAAAATAGCAAGTGCTGCTGAAGATGTGGAGAAACTAAAACCCTCATACATTCCTGGTGGGAATGCAAAATGGTGCAGCCACTGTGGAAAACAGTATGGTGGTTCCTAAAAATGCTAAATACAGAATTATTATATAATCCAGCAATTCCACTCAATTCTATATACGGAAAGAACTGAAAACAAGGACTGAGATACTTTATGCCAATGTTCATTGACGCTTTTTTTTTTCATTTTGGGGAGGATCTATTCTAACTTGGGAGGAGAGTGAAGGTGTGTAGGTCTGAAGTTCAACCATGGCCTTTCCAGAGAGTTCTGCCCAGCTGTGCATGGTGGGCACGTGGGTATTTATCAGCTCAGCAGGTCAAACTCTGTAGACCCTAGGTGGAGCAGCAGTAAGCCACAAAAATCACTGTGGTCCTCCCCTGGTGCAGCCCTGCCGTCAGTGTCTCTCTCAGGGGAAAGAGCTTGGGGTAGACAATAGTAAACATGGGCTTACTGCAGGGTGGCAGTGTCCCTGGGGGCAGTGCAGGAGCTCCAGCAGACTTCTGAGCAATGTAACTGGAGACAGAAAGCTCAGATCTTTCAGGAAGCTATGGCAGGTGTGATATAGACATCTCATGGCCAGCTCTTGCAGAGGAAGGACGTGGTTGCTCTCAATCCCAATGGCCTTCACCTCAACTGGGAGAAATACAGTGAGCTGCCCTGATGAGACGATGAGCAGTTTCACCTCAGACAGCTGAATGGGTAGACTGCAGCCATGGCACCCAGTGACTTCATTATACAGATAGGATGGCAGGCCCTTCAGGTGAACATTGTTATCCACATACACATACTGCAGTTATCACATTTGACCTAAATCAAGTGGCAGAAATGCAAGATGCTTTCCAGTCATGGAGAGCTCATTGAAGCCGGGCAGCTGGCAGAGCTGAGGCAGCACGGAGCACAGGCGGGGTTGGTCCACAGTGAGGTACTGTAGGGGAAGGCACAGGTGAAGCCTCTCAAGTAAAATTAGCAAAGGATTGATAGAAACATCGAATGTCTGCAGCTCCTTCAAATCGCCAGCCTCTGGAGGTAGGAATTGCAGTTGGTTATTCACTAATCAAAGATGTCATAAAGCTCTCAGATGACTGACTTCTGGGCAAAAGATTTCTTAGGCATTGTCACTAAGATCCAAATACTGGAACTTTACAAGGGA